ATATAACGATAACTTATCACACATAATACATATATCTCATCATATCCGACCTTCCGGTCACACAGTCAAACCCTTCCGGGTACAGTATAGTGAGAAAACTCACCTCGTGGAAAGTCTAAGATCTCGCGTCCTCGCTATCACCGAATCCAACGACGGCTCTACCTCGCCTAAACATAAAAATATCATTTAATACACAAAGACTTCCACCACTAAAACTTTACCCTTATCATCATTCCTCAGAGGGTAAAAGACCATTTTACCCTTCCTTGACCTAAAGTCCTCATGTTGACCAAAACCCTAAAAGTCAACAAAAGTCAACCCTGAGAGTACGCGGGGCGTACTGCTAGATGTACGCGGGGCGTACATCGCCAACCCCCTGGATCGGGGTCTCCACCCAGTACGCTGCGCGTACTGGAAGTTACGCCCAGCGTAACCATCAGAATCAGCCACTCTTCATTTCTGGTCTTAATCGGTTAAGCCATTACTCCAACTTCTAGATCCGACTCTTTAGTGTGTCTAAACCCATAAAGTCGAGACCTTTAAGCCTTGGCATGGCTGTAAAGGCTCCAACATCACATAACAACATTCTTTCCAACTCAAGGACCTAGATCTCATGCATGGTGCAATACCCACGTCCAAGATGCCATTTTTATGAGTCTACAACTCCAATAGATCAGAAATATGAAGTATCTAAGCTTATGGAGGCCATTTGCACAAAAGTCTCCACCTTTGGGACTTAAACCCTAGAAAATGATACTTAAGCATACAACATGAACCAAGTGACAAGATCCGAACTTTTTACCTGAAATGAAGCTTTAACCCTTGCAAAGCTCAGATCTACACTTGAGCACCACTTCTAGCCTCTCCAACAAGCTCTTCTTCTCCTTTGCAACCTTGGAATGGCACCACCAAGCTTAGAATACACACACAATGGCTAAAGAACGAATACACTCTTTTTAGGGTTTCACTCTGAGGGATGGTGGCTGAGAAGTCCAGCCACACATTCCTTTTATAGCCCCTCCAAAGGAAATTAGGGTTTGGATCTGAATAAGTTACGTCGGGCGTAACCTTGGGTACGCCCCGCGTACCTGAGGGGGAACGCGTCCAAATGAGGCGCGCGAGTACGCGCAGCGTACACCTTGTACGCCCAGCGTACTCGCCTACCATGAAAACCCTAAATTAACAATTTAATCCAAAAGAAGAATACCTGGATTCGGGCTGTTACAATTCTCCCCCACTAGAACCAGACTTCGCCCCCGAAGTCTCATACTGAAAACAACTCTGGATACTGATCCCGCATCTCAGACTCAGACTCCCATGTCAGCTCGGACCCCTTCCGATGTTGCCACTGCACTTGTACCAGGGGTACTTCCTTGTTCCTCAGAACCTTAACTTTCCGATCCCTGATCGCTACTGGTCTCTCCACATAGTTCAGGCCTGCATCCACCTGAATATCATCCAATGGCACCACTGCCGACTCGTCGGCAATACATTTCCTCAACTGCGAGACATGAAAGGTATCATGGATCTGCCCCAACTCAGCAGGTAGATCCAACCGGTAGGCTACCCGGCCTACCCTAGCAATTACCCTGAAGGGTCCAATATACCGGGGTCCCAACTTGCCCCTCTTCCTGAATCGTATCACTCCTTTCCAAGGAGAGACCTTTAGGAGCACAAGGTCACCAACCTGAAACTCGAGCTCGGACCGCCGCCTGTCCGCATAACTCTTCTGGCGACTCTGCGCGGTCAACAACCTCTGCCTGACCTGCTGAATCTGCTCGGTCGTCTGGAGTACAATCTCCGTGCTACCCATCACCCTCTGCCCCACCTCTCCCCAGCAGATGGGGGTGCGACACCTCCGCCATACAACAACTCAAAGGGTGGCATACCAATGCTCGAATGATGGTTGTTGTTGTACGAAAACTCTGCTAAAGGTAGATAGGTGTCCCAGCTCCCTTCAAAATCCAAGACACGTGCTCAGAGCATATCCTCAAGCATCTGAATCGTCCGCTCGCTCTGTCCGTCTATCTGCGGGTGGTATGCGGTACTGAAATGCAGTCTCGTACCCAATTCGTCATTAAACTTCTTCCAAAAACTGGAAGTAAAACACACCTCCCGATCTGAAACAATCGACATCGGAACCCCATGTCGCGATACCACCTCCCTCACATATAACTCTGCCAACTTCTCCGCAGAAGAGCTCTCGCTGATGGCTAGAAAATAAGTGCTCTTCGTCAATCTATCCACGATCACCCAAATTGCGTCGACTACCCTCGCAGTCCGCGACAATTTGGTGATAAAATCCATGGTAATCTGTTCCCACTTCCATTCGGGAATCTCTAGTGGTTGCAATTTACCGTGCGGACGCTGGTGCTCAGCCTTAACCTGTCGACAAGTCAGGCATCTCTCAACAAACCATGCAACATCCCTTTTCATACAGGGCCACCAATACTCCTTCCTTAGATCCAAATACATTTTTGTAGCCCCGGGATGAATCGAGAATTTCGATCGACGCATTTCCTCCATCAAAATAGTACGTGTACCGCCCACAAACGGTACCCAAATCCGACCCTGAAAAGTCATAAGCCTCGAATCCGTAACGAATCCTGATACCTGACCTACCAACCCGCTCCCTCTTCTGGTTTTCTGGTTTCAAGCCTCAGCCTGAGCTCCTCGAATAGTATCCAAATCGGGGTTTAACCGTCAACCTCATACAAATATCTCGGATCGGGGCGCTTTCCGCCATACGGCTCAACGCGTCGGCTACACATTAGCCTTGCCCAGGTGGTACAGGATCTCACAATCGTAATCCTTCACCACATCCAACCATCTCCTATGTCTCATATTTAGATTTGGCTGATCCATCAAGTACTTTAGACTCTTGTGGTCCGTGTAGATGGTACACCGAACCCCATAAAGATAATGCCGCCAGATCTTGAGGGCAAACACCACAGTCCCCAATTCCAGGTCGTGGATGGGATATCTCGACTCATGAGGCTTTAACTGCCTCGAAGCATACGCTATCACATGTCCCCTCTGCATAAGCACCGCCCCTAAACCCGATATAGATGCATCATAGTACACCACAAAATCCTCCATCCCTTCCGGGAGTGCAAGCACCGGAGCCTCGCACAATTTCTGACGAAGGGTCTCGAATGAGGACTGTTGCTCCGGTCCCCATGAAAATGCAACACCCTTCCGGGTCATCCTAGTAAGTGGCATGACGATCTTGGAGAAATCCTTGATAAACCTTCGATAATAGCCGGCCAATCCCAGAAAACTCCTGATCTCAGTGGGTGATCTCGGCACCTCCCATCTCAACACCGCCTTAATCTTTGCCAGGTCGACCAATATCCGTTTCTGGTTAATAAGGTGCCCAAGGAACTGGACCTCTCGTAACCATAAATCACACTTAGAGAATTTGGCATACAACCTCTCCGATCTCAATACCCCAAGAATTTCCCTCAAATGCTCCTCATGCTGCTCCCTAGACCTCGAATATACCAAAATATCATCAATGAATACGATCACCGATCGATCCAGCATCGGCCGACACACCCGGTTCATAGGATCCATGAATGCAACCGGGGCATTAGTGAGCCCAAAAGGCATCACCACAAACTCATAATGTCCATAACAAATTCTAAAAGCAGTCTTCTAAATATCTTCATCACGAACCCTCATCTGATGATAACCCGACCTCAAGTCTATCTTGGAGAACCAAGATGCCCCCTGCAACTGATCGAACAGATCGTTGATCCTAGGTAACGGATACCGGTTTGTAACCGTCAACTTGTTCAACTCCCGGTAATCGATACACATCCGGTGTGAACCATCCTTTTTCTTAACGAACAAAATCAGCGCTCCCCAAGGTGAGCTACTCGGTCGAATAAACCCTTCCCCAACAGCTCCTGAAGTTGTGAGGATAACTCCTCCTGCATTTCCGGTGGAGCGAGACGATAAGGCACCTTGGCGATGGGCGCTGCTCCCGAACCAAATCGATACGGAACTCCACTTGCCTTTCGGAGGCACACCTGGTAACTCTTCGGGAACACATCCGAAAACTCGCATAAATATAGGAACGTCATCAACTAATTGGGCCTCCCCGCGACCACTCGAGTATCCATCACGTAGGCTATGAATCCATTGCAGCCCTGCTGCAAACTCTGCCTCGCCCTGGCAGCCGAACAAAAACGCCGACCCACACCGGGTCCCTCTCGCCATAACACCGTAAGCACTCCCCCACTAGGGTCGTCTCGAATCATCACCAGCTGTCTCGCAGTCAATGACTGCCCCAAACTTACTCAACCAGTCCATGCCCACGTGACGCAGACATTTCCCATCGCTATAGGAACCAAGTCTATAGGGAACTCGACCCC